GCGCGCCAGGATAATATATGTATCTACGTGCGTTAACCACGTGAGATCGGCCAGCATCTTTCCACGGGCCTCTTTGGTGGGGACTTAACCTATGGACTGCTCTTTCTCTCCGTCTTTCTCGCGCGCGAACCTTGGATCCCCGGGAAATCGCTAGAATCTTAAGATCGCCGGATCACTGCGCGGCCACCGGCTGTGCGATCTACACTGCGCAGCATAATTATACCGCCGCAGATATAGCGATTCTCGAAATTGATCCAGTGCTTTATTACAGGGTCGGTTGCCCTAATATGGAATACGTGTTTTTACGTACATGGAAATATCGGTTTTTGACTTTCGGTCAGGCTGGTCGCAAGCTCGAGGAAAGAACGTTCCAAACGTTTTGCTCGATTTTCTCTTCGATTACGTTGTCGAGGAGAGAAAAACGACCCGCAAGCGGAAATAAAGGGCAACTGCGTCCGCAAATTATACTCCTGTTGAGCTCGACCCGTCGATCTATAAACGGGGTATCGGTTCTTTTCACGATCGAGGCTCGATCGCGTTGCTGACGTATTCGTTTCAGCCGTGGCTCGTTTCCTAGCGCAGTCAGCTTTGTTTTTACCGCAGACGATTCCTCTGTTATTTACTCGGCGCAGTAGGTAGCGACGGTGTCTCGTTCGCCAAGGTAGGCGCCCACTTTTGTATTCGCCACCCCGTAGACGGCGAGTTCTCACTCGGCATTCTCGGCAATCTCTGATCGACGAGTTTTTATGAAGGTCGTACGAACTACGTGAGCCGTACCCACTTACCCAGCTGCATCGCGATGCGCGTGTTTATGCTATTTGCGGCCGAGCCGGACGTACGAAAAATACGCCGACGTTACAGGTGTAACGAATTCGGAAAAAATGCTTTCACCGACCTTTTTTTTTCACCACCATTATACACCGCGGGACAAAATTGTAGGACGCTTTGCATATACTCGCGTCGATATTTAAGTTGACACGCTCGAATTCCAGCAACGTATCGCTAATTGCTAACGCGATATTATTTAGTTCTACATTCTAACTCGTACCATACATTTTCTGTTACGTTTAAGTCCGAAGACTGAAGTTTTGATAACATTAGGGCAATTATAAACCAACCACAGTCTGACAATTACGGCCTTGTGTTCCAGACCGTTATCTCGACAGTAATGGCCAATTTTTCGGTACATTGTTTCAAATTTTTTTTTAAATATCCAAGTATATCCACTTATTTATAATTCTTTCGATAAAAATTCAACTCCTGCTTTGTAATAAAATGTTCTTTCTCCTTTCAACACTACTTAGAAATAATACAGAAATATGTGAAGTGTCATACTTTGTTCTACTATACGTTTCATCATCCATAACTCGAAAATTAAGGTATGCAGAACATTTGTTCGTACGACAGTTTTTAATCATTTTAGTGTGTAGATTCATCTCTTTAGACATTTACATGTATTTTAGAAACACTCTGTATACTTTCACCTATGACGTTCCCCATTTTAATATTGCTTCTGAATCTGTCCTTGGTCGAGCTACGTCGCTCGTTCAAACGGGAAACCGCGAACCGCTAATTTTCGATAGCAATGTGCGAGACGTTGTTGACCGATGCGCGCAATTGATTGAATAATTACGGTTATTCCAGGGATAGCCGTTCCAAATACAAGGGCAAACAGGTTGCGCTTAGTTTCATTCTTTTGTCCGATGGCATTCGGCTTGCAATCAGCAGCGCGATGCTTTATCTTACGATCGCTGGTCAATATTTCGAATTCCCATTTGCAACGTCGAAGATGAAAATGGCGGCGGACTACGATAATTTATTAACTAGTCCGGCAAGTCAAACCTGTTGGTTCCCCCGCAGACGTGTGTTGCGCGTCCCGTCCGAACGCGTGGAACTGGTGTTCTTTGATATCTTTCTGTAGAAAATTGTCCGCTAAGTCTTCCTGCTTTGACCATTCCCTAATTTCAACTTCTGAATTCACCGGTTGAATTTCCTCGGTTTCCGTCTGACGCTTAACTTTAGGGTAAGGTGCTCGAAAATTGTCCCCTTAAGGCTTTTTGGTTATCGTTCGAAAATTATGTATATACAAATCTGAAACAAGTTGTAGAGTAACTTGGAAGCCTTAGTTACGATGCCCTGGTATCGACTTGTCGGAACAGTTTATACACACAAAGTAAGAAATATATGTATATGTAAAAGTATGCATTTTTCAAGCTTTAGAAAGAACGTTCCCTATTTCGTTTTTTTAATTATAGTACTGATATTGTCTCCATTAATTTACAATTTATATTAGACAGTTGCTTGATAATACGCAATTACAGTAATGTTTAATAATACGTATCGTGTAAATGTTAATTAGAAACATTATTTTGCCTAAAATTCTCGTGCGTTAGTAGATCGAATAGATTACGGAACCAACTGCCGACGTGTGAGCGTACCACTTTTCCACCCTTTTGATACTCTTTAATAAGTTATAAATATGACCATATGTGTAAAAAAGTTTCATTCCATCGGCAGTTCACGAGCTGGAAGGACACCAGGAAACCGAATCTCGTCGTCCGACCTCCAACCCCTTGCTAACCATTGCTGGCCAGTGTTTACCATTTACTAGTAAAAGATGACCAGTGGCAATTAATTATTTAAACTTGCATACCATATTATTTTTATTTATTTTATTTTATTGCTTGAAAGTACGCTATTTGGCTATTGACCAGTTTCTGCTCTATCGGTATATATCTTTCTGTATTTGACAATTTATTTTATTTCATTATGTTAATGTGGAGTTAGGTTTATTTTCATTTTATTTTGGAAATTTTCAACTTGTTTCCTTCGTCCCTGCTTCGGTCACCGCTACTTCATTCAATGAAACATGTGATCAGCTGTGTGGCTGATCCAAACGATCTAGTTGCCTTTCCCTGGTAGTTTGATTTAGGGAAAATGGTTCTTCGCTGGAAGGTGTACGACACCGTTTCCTGCGGAAACGCATACCTTCTGGCGAAAGTCCTTGTCTTAGGATCCTTCTCTTTGTCAGGCGTCCTAAATCGGGTTCTTTTGGTTCCCGGCGAGATGCGTTGGAGAAATAGGGAACCAGTTTCAGGAGCGTGAACTCATTTTTCCGTAGAATCGACTTACCAACAAGCAGATGATTCAATCCTAGGATTTGCACAGTGCAACATCGCGTCGCGTATCTCTCAATTTTACCTCGTTTTCTTTGATAAAATAATTGCTTGGTAGAACTAAACGAAGATATCGAAGGAACTTTGATTCCTTCTATCTTCCAAGTTTAGTAATTTAGAATGTAAAAGGGAGATCGATAGAACTTGGATTCCATCTATCTTTCTTCGATAGAAAAAAGTCCTTTGTCGCGGATAACACCGAGTTAATGGCTGCGAATTTAAAATAGTTTTAAATGATTTTTCTACATATGCTAACTTTACCGATTCTCATGATTGAAAGTATATAGTTCTCGGTGGCACTGTACATTTAAACAAAGAGGTCACTCTATAACCATCGATTTCTTACGAAGTCGATACTTCAGTTTATGCAAAACCAAATTTCATGTACTCGAATATTGAAACGATTATAGGAAATGCGATTTTAGTGTTTGGCTGCATCGTCGCTTTCTAACAATAAGCATTACATTTGTAAGAAATGGCAACCTTGCGCGTGTTACTAATGGCAACCCTGTACTCGCTGTAAGGGAAGAAATTTTCTGCGTTTGCTAACTTTACCGATTTCAGTAGTTTAATTGCAATACTTTTCAAGATCACCATTCTATAAGGGAGGAGGTCGCTCAAAAACCACTAGTTTTTTTACTAGGTCGGTATTTCAGTTCATATGGTATTATACTATTTCAGTATTATTCCAACTTCCATAATTGACGGAATTTTTTCCATTCTTCTTTTAAAATATTTTTAAGGTAGGTTATGTTTATTTGTTATTTTATGTTTTTTGATCTCTGTCCCCAAATAATCCAACAGGTGTCCGATTGCATTTAAATAGAGACACTAAGGTAGAAAGAAAGGAATTTTTGAACACTTGGTCCTATTAAAAAATCCAGTCCTTTCCCTGTCCTAATTTTTTTGCATTATTTTTTTAATTACTTTTAAGAATATTCATCGATTCTTGACAGTTTCTATAAATACTAAATTCCCTACTTCTGATACCACCATTAAGATCCAAACCATGACGGATCTACCATCATGCTTTACAGTTGGTATTATGTTTTTCAAATCTAATGTGCCAGTGTGCCGCTTTTTCTCTATCCTTATCCTTTGCCACTTTCAACTGCTCCAAAGATATTAAATTTACCTTCGTCTGTAAGTAATATTCTTTACAAAAATTGTTTATTCTCTCGTTTATGCTTTTTTGCAAATTCAATTCTTTTTGGTGATTTGATGCCACTAATCATAAGTAAAGGTTTTTCCACGATACACAACTATGAAATCAACATTTTTTTTTAATTTTTCGAATATTTTCAAGATGTACTGTTGTACTTCCTAAATTATTTTCTATTTGGATGATTATTTTTGAAACAATTACATTTGAATCTTGTCGAATTATTTGCAACACAAATCGAATATCCCTATCACTTAAAATTTTAAGTTGACCGCCACGTCTCTTTTTGTTTTTACAGCTACTGATTATTTCAAAATTTTTTATTATGTATCGAAGAATAGAATTCTTCAATTTTCTTGCATTGTACTACAAAAGACAATTATTGGTGTTCATTAATTTATATTACAAAGATTATTATCTTACCACATATTTCAGCCGAAAATGTTATAAACTTTTTTACTGATAATTATCAGAAATTCATTAAAGGTGAAACCTTGTTAAATACAGTAAATTTTCAAGAATGTTATTACTTATTTCAAAGATTTATCTATAAATGGGATTTTTTTTCAACATAGTTTATACAGTATGATATATATAACGAAAAAATGAGACAATATAGATACTAATAATCATATATAGAACTTAAATGATATTAATGGAATAATAGTTATTTCAATAATGTATATAATGATAAATTTCTTTAGTATTATAAAATGTCCTTACAAAATATTTACTCTGTTTCTTGAGCAGCAGGGCACGAAGATGGTTTTAAACCTCGTATACTGAGGTCATAAACAACTTCCTCTATTTTTTTAATGGAGTACTTCAAACTGTCAAAACGTTTCCTTAGATTGTCATTTTTAAAATTTAATAATCTGAAACCTACGTTTAGTTCATTCACAAATCTTGCAATCTCTATAGGCCGATTGTAATCACCATTAGTAACACTATTTACAGCAAAACGACTCTGAAACATAACAATTCAAATGAGTAATAACCATAGTTAAATTATAAATTATACATACCAATTCTGTAGATAATTGTAGTAAACCCATTAAGAAATCTTCCAAGTCCAAGTGAAAACCATCTTCTCTATTATTTTTGACTATATTTATAATATAAATTTAATATAAAAGAAAAGAAATATAAGTAGACATGTATTATAAATCACATACCTCCTAACATTGCTGCAACAGTTTCCTTAGTAACCAAAACCTTAATTTCTAAATATATTACTAAAGATGCTAAGAAACATAATTTTTGTGTAACAAAACGCCAGTGGTCATGAAACCTATAGTATTGATCTTTTGGTACAGCTTTTGCAAGTAACTCATAACTTTTACGTACATCTTCAAATATTACTCTTGCTTTTGCACAATATTCAGATACAACTGTGAATAAAAGGAGACATAATTGCATTGATAATATGAAGATATATTACGTATGTACATACTTATGTTTTCTTCCAAGTTATTTTCATTATGAATATTCTGTAATATCATCAGAATATCTCTGCAACTTTTTTCAAGATCTCGTACATTAAAACGGATTTCCTTCAACAAAAGAAAATAAATATTAATTTACTTTACATATGTTATGTTTTTAATCATGATTATATGATTATGACATAAAGCTTTCATGAAGTTTCAGATAACGATCTGTCAACATACTTTAACCTACAATACATATTAACTATACATAAAATACTTTATGTTGATTGTAAAATAAGAAGAAAATTAAGAATCTTGAAAATGTTCATACAAAAACGTTTTACTTTGTTAAAATCTACATAAAACGAATTAACAGCATTAGTAAATTGTCACTACAAAACTTAATCAGTTAACTGTACCCACCTCACGCAATTCTTCTTCATTACTTAAAAAGTCATGAAATGAATTAAATATCTGCAGTATTCTCTCACTCATATTGATCCCAAATCTATTGACAAACTACGTAAAAGATAAATATATCGTGTTATCAATAATTTACCAAAACGAGATCTTATCCCTGCATACAAGATTAGTGACTCCCAATCAGTATGGCCAGATCGGGCAGTGTGGCCAGATCGGGCATAATTGAGTGCATCGAAATCGACAACAGTGACGACGAACTTCCTTAGCGTCTAACGGAATGGTGGGGATAGCAGGCATACACTACCGCACGAGCCACGTGTACGTGAGCTCGGCACTTTGCACAACTTCGGCAAATCGATAAAGAACGCTAGTGTGAGCCTTTCCTTCTTGCTCTTGTAAAAGAGAAACAGCTGAAATACGACCTCGCGATAAGTGGCATACGATTCCAAGCCTCGACTGCCCCAGCATTTTTACTTTCCGACCTATATGTAAGGTATAAGGAAATTTATAAAGTATCATAATGAAAAAAAATTTTGAAATTTTTTTTTAGCGGAAATACACGTTTTGGGACCCCCTGATCATATTGTGACTATTGAAAAAAACGATATTTTTTTTTGTTCCTATGCTATTAACATGAATGCATTAACCCTTTTAGTACCGAACGACGATATATCGTCGTTCGCTATACTTGCGAAAAGTGCCAACGACGATATATCGTTGCGTATACGATGGTGTCTTATTCTTCGCATTAGGAGAAAGCTCTGTCTCAAAAAAAATTTGTAAAACATTATAAAGGGTTTAATTTTATTGCAAAAGCATTTAAAAAATTATTTTTTAGAGGCCTTTTTCGCTCGGGCGAACCAGCAACTCAACACTACTTTGTGGCGGAAACGTATGTATTCTGGAGTCGTCATATTATACAGGGTGTTCGGCCAACCCTGGGAAAAATTTTAATAGGAGATTCTAGAGGTCAAAATAAGACGAAAATGAAGAATATCAGTTTCTTGACTGAGGCCTCGTTAAAAAATGATTAACAATTAAATTAAAAAATTTCAAACCGTACTGGAAAAATTATCTTCGATTGCAGGGGTCAATTACAATCATTTTTGGTAAATACACATATCTCCGAATTCCTACCCACTTTCGAGAAAAAAATTCGAGTGGGTACTGAACTTTTTAGATGAAATTAAAATATTTAAAATCACACTAAAAAAAATTATATTTAGTTACAGGGGTCAATTACAATCATTTTTTATCATTACACATACCCCCGAAATCCTACGCATTTTCGAGAAAAAAATTTCTAACCGAAAATCTAATTAGTAATTAGGTACCTAGATTTTTCGACGAAAAAAAAAAAATTTCAAATCGTTCTGGAAAAATTATTTTCGGTTGTGGGAGTCAATCACAATCATTTTTGGTGAATAGACATACCCTCGAAATTCTGCGTGTTTTCGAGAAAAAAATTCAGTACGGGCTCCACTTTAAACGTTAATAACTTTTTAACAAAGCCTCATCATATTTTGAATTGATTATTTATTAAAAAATCATTGAAAATCAAATACTTATACTTTATGCTACGTGACCTATATAAAACTGTGATCAAACAACGATTATTCTTATGCGTAAATATTGCTTGTAGAAGAGAAACTTGTTTCTATGTTTTTTATCATATTTTATCATTATGTTATTTATACGATTTGCAATAAATATTGAAATGCAATTGCCATTACTTTATTCTTTCTTTATTTCGTAATATGCTGCTTTTTGAATTTTGTAAATATCATTCTTAGTTTGTTTTTTACGAGCTTTTTCTCTAACCATAACAAATTCGTCAAATTGGCTCGGTATTCTTCGCATAGGCACCCGTTTTTCGCTCGGTACTAAAAGGGTTAAACGACTAAGTGAATTTCAATAACGAAAAAAATATTTCGAAATTTTTTTTAGCGGAAATACACGTTTTAGAACCCCCTCATCATATTGTGACTACTACAAAAAAACATATTTTTTTTTTGTTCCTATGCTATTGACATGATTGCGTCTAAACGGCTGAATGAATTTCAATGAAACTTAACATTTAAGTTTTATGTTCTCGTTTTAAGGTCTCATTATATTTTAAGCGTGATCAGCTCCCATATAATAATGATTATACGTTTTTAGTTTTATAATTATTTCGATACATACACATCATGTGTAACAAATTTTTAAAGCGATTTATATAAATCTTAAGAAGGATTAAGATCAAATATATTTTTCTCCTATCTTTCCTAGACAGGAAAAATTAAACGAAATCTTATGCCTTGCATACCTACCTAAACCACATAAAAAACGTATTCCACAAATATTTTAGAATAATGTTGTTCAAAGCAGTCTTACTCGTAAAGGGTTAATTAAGGGTTAATTAAAATGAAAAACCACTCTTAGCCAGTACCGTGCACGCTACAGAAATAGATTACTACTGACTTTTCCCACTATGTTTTTTAATAACCGTATCAAATTGTTACACACAATCAAATGATATATATTTGACTTAACTTTACATAACAAAATAATTGTAACGATAGGTAAAACAATAACGTGCACGCTACCGTTCAATGGAAACCACGGGAAGGTGGTGGTCACTTCCATCAGGAGGGAAATGTAAAAAATTGTTATTTCTTTGTAACATTATCACATGCCGTATATTAAAATGTTTTTATTAATGTAATGAAATTACAATATAATGAAAAACTAACTCGTGAATGCATTAATTTTTATTAATATACACACGAGCCATAAAAATGGAAAAATGATATAATTGTTTACATTTCCAAAGGATGGGATGTCGGGATAGGACGTTTGCGATTAAGCTGGCACGTTATGTCGTGCATTGTTGCTCTTACGGTACCGTGACGTAAGTGTAACAAGGCGCGACATTCTACGTCATAGCCACACTATCTACAGCAAACAATTTCACTAACTAAAAATATACGGCAAAATATAAGCAAATAAATGAAGAAAAAAAATGATAGTTAGAGCAAGCAGAATAGTATTTACAGCAAGCGAAATACGTAAAAAAAGTAACAACGCGAGACAAATTGAACGACTATTTACATATTAGCGATGTCCAAAAAAAAATATTTTGGACATCACTAACAAGACTGCGGTTGCAATGTAAGCGCTTTCGCGTGACGTTATGGCACATACATGCATCACACCTTGTTGCGCCTACGTCACGGTACCGTTGACGTAACAAGACCAGTCTACCGCGACGTCGCATGAAAACGTTTATACTGTCATTGCAGCCTAATAGTACGAATTTACTAAAGAGCTTTTCTCTGGAGAGAAAAATCTCTCTAGAGAAAAGCTCTGTAGTAAATCGGTACCTTAATTTTCGTCATATGACGTAGCGGGAAAATTCTCAAAGTTATTGTCATATGTTGCGTTTAATCTTAAATTACACTTTTGCTTCTTAGCAAATCTATGATATAAATTTTTGGAATACAATAGAGCTAGATGATCGTCATCTACCTCCATGGGTTGAGAGTTTTCCCTCTGCGCCTTTAACGAAGATTTCACAACGCAAATAGAGTTGACGCTGGCCGAAGAAAGTTTATTCGTTTCTTTGTTTTTATGTCAGGTAACATGGAAAACAATCTTTCTGCATCGGCATTGGAATTTGGAAGTGATCTAATTGTATTTACTAATTTCATCAATTCAGGAAATTTAATTTTATAGTCCAAATTTCGCGTTAATAAAATTGTTTTCCAGAAACCATCGAATTTCATCTCGATAAGCGTCTGTCTACCTTTCGTTGTAAATTCCAAAGGCAATACTGACCATTCTGTTTGCAGTCCTTCTTCGTCGAAACCGCCGAATTTCTTAGCGATTAAGAGAACATTTCTGAAGGAAATGTCTCTATTTGTATCATTTAATATAAAAGTTGGTTCAAAAACATACAACATGCTAAGAAATTCGTCATCGATTGCCAATCGATGACGAATTTCGTTTGCAGCTGTAATATAAAACATTAAACAATTTTTCCTTACGGTTTCTACGATGTCGGACTTGCCTTCTGCATTCAGTTGATGCAGAAAATTAAGACACTCTGTTCCTAAATTTATGCTATCAAATGGAAGTTGATTTTCGACTACAGAAAAATTCATCATTCTTACTAAATCCATGTGTTTCAAAAGCTGCGGTTTCAGAAAATTGCGTAATATATCGCATAAAAGTTCTGCCGCAGTCTTTTGAAGCAAATGAATTCTTGTCTCTTGAGTTTGAAAGAAAATGTTAAATTTATAAAAAAACTCAAGAGCGTAATTTAGAAAATAAAGATATGCTTTGGCCTCTGGATTTTGCATCGAGATTAACAGACGTTCCCCGGACTCTGATTTCTCGCTTATTGTCAATTCTTGCAAAAAAAGCAATACAGAGTCCCAATTCTCTAAAAGTGTAACTACGGATGTATAATGCGATAACCATCGCGTAGAACACAATTTTAAAATTTTTCGGTCGGTTATTTGAAAACATTGCTGAAATTCGCGGAATATAGCCGAACGTTTGGGACTACTGTATATGTTACTCTTTTTATAATTCTCAATGTGACACTGAGAATCTGCGTGATTATAAATCGTCGATAATCGACATGAAAATTGATTGTTGCAAACCGAACAGAACCACGAATAAGGGTCGCCGTCGACTTTATGCAACCATGGCTTGAAATAATCATTCTCAAGCCATTGAGGCATAAAAGTCCTTTTAGAAGTACTATTTTTTTTATGACACCCAGATTCTCCGTGTCTATACACGTTTGAGGAACCGCAAGAATAAGACTTATTGCATAAAGTACAATAAAAACGACTTCTATCATGGGGTACTGCACGTATCCATGATTTAAACCTATGATCATTTATCCATGAAGATAAAAAACCGCGCTTACACTTATTCTTCGATTTCACAACCGTTTCCATAATATATAAGCAGAAAAGCGAAAGAACAGAAAATTACAGAAATTACGCGAAAGCTTTTTTTCAATTTAAATATCTCAGAATGACCTACGGCACGTACCTTTAAATTTGTCCTGATGTTCGTCCTCGTCGACCGAATTCAACTGACTCAAGAGAAACAGCAGTGGCTCGAGCACGTGGCGATAGTGTTTTGTTTATACTGCTCGCGCATCGATGGGCCGTTGAAATGCCCGGACGAAGAAAGGACGTAGATATATATAGCACAGTTCCCATAGGTTTTTAAAAGGCAATAATTAGAAATAAAGTTCTATTGAATGAATAGCAGTATATAGACGTCAATTTAATATATTTCATTTTGCAGAAATGAATTTAGAGGGGAATCAAAAAAAAAGGAAAGAAGAATATAGACGTTCTAATATATGCCATGTGATAATGTTACAAAGAAATAACAATTTTTTACATTTCCCTCCTGATGGAAGTGACCACCACCTTCCCGTGGTTTCCATTGAACGGTAGCGTGCACGTTATTGTTTTACCTATCGTTACAATTATTTTGTTATGTAAAGTTAAGTCAAATATATAACATTTGATTGTGTGTAACAATTTGATACGGTTATTAAAAAACATAGTGGGAAAAGTCAGTAGTAATCTATTTCTGTAGCGTGCACGGTACTGGCTAAGAGTGGTTTTTCATTTTAATTAACCCTTAATTAACCCTTTACGAGTAAGACTGCTTTGAACAACATTATTCTAAAATATTTGTGGAATACGTTTTTTATGTGGTTTAGGTAGGTATGCAAGGCATAAGATTTCGTTTAATTTTTCCTGTCTAGGAAAGATAGGAGAAAAATATATTTGATCTTAATCCTTCTTAAGATTTATATAAATCGCTTTAAAAATTTGTTACAAATGATGTGTATGTATCGAAATAATTATAAAACTAAAAACGTATAATCATTATTATATGGGAGCTGATCACGCTTAAAATATAATGAGACCTTAAAAAGAGAACATAAAACTTAAATGTTAAGTTTCATTGAAATTCATTCAGCCGTTTAGACGCATTCATGTTAATAGCATAGGAACAAAAAAAAATATCGTTTTTTTCAATAGTCACAATATGATCAGGGGGTCCCAAAACGTGTATTTCCGCTAAAAAAAAATTTCGAAATTTTTTTTCGTTATTGCAATTCACTTATTGTTAGTCGTTGAGGAACAAAAAAAATGTCTTTTTTTTCAATAGTCACAATATGATCAGGGGGTCCTAAAACGTGTATTTCCGCTAAAAAAAAATTTCAAAATTTTTTTTCATTATGATACTTTATAAATTTCCTTATACCTTACATATAGGTCGGAAAGTAAAAATGCTGGGGCAGTCGAGGCTTGGAATCGTATGCCACTTATCGCGAGGTCGTATTTCAGTTGTTTTGTCTTTTACAAGAGCAAGAAGGAAAGGCTCACACTAGCGTTCTTTATCGATTTCCCGAAGTTGTGCGCAAACGTCGAGCTCACGTACACGTGGCTCGTGCGGTAGTGTATGCCTGCTATCCCCACCATTCCGTTAGACGCTAAGGAAGTTCGTCGTCACTGTTGTCGATTTCGATGCACTCAATTATGCCCGATCTGGCCACACTGGGCCGCGGCGCGAGTATCTCCACTCGCGCCGAAACCCACCCCACCAATACCCTCCCGGATTCCGCCACCTTTCGGGCGGCGGAGAGGGGACACCGGGCCCACACCGACCCCAGAAGTAAAAATGCCTGGGCAGTCGAGAATCTCGGCTCGAGAATCCAAATCGTATGCCGATGACGGGAGGTCGGATTTCAGTTGTTTAGAGCGAGAAGGCAAATGTGAGCCTTTCTCGCTCGACTCCCACGAGGCGATCCGAAATTACTTCGGGCAGCTTCGGAGAATCGAGAAAGAGGGCATGCATCAGTTTGCCTTTGTCGACTTTCCGAAACTCCACGGACTCACGTACGCGTATCTAGCATGCTGAGTTTGCACCCGACGGTGCTTTTCTGGCATCACTGACTGGGCACAACGTGTTTACATCCCCACTCCTGTTGCAGTCCGGCGACTCACAGGTATTGGTCGATAACGGTGACGAAGATCGGTGACGGGTGACAGTGAATTAGCGGACTGCAGCAAGAGTGGGGATGTTAACACGCTGTGCCTTCTTATCGTAGAAGGACGATACAATAATACAAATACCGTTTTTTAGCAATGTATTAAATTAAATATATTCATTTTCAAATACTGCTCTATTCCTCTTTTAATACTATTTTGTTATAATAGAAGAATTTATTAAATTTGAAATATGTCGAATTAAATTTCATCATTATATACAGTTAATAGTAAATAAGTTTAGTGCAGAGTTTTGGTGGGAATCTGCGGTTAATGTTCCTGTTCGTGATAATTACACAATATTTTTTATGTTAAAGACATTTCCTTATAAGTACGGAAAAAATTCATAGCAATACAATGCCTGAAGTCACAATTAATAATGTCATTATTAATTTCCCTTTCAAACCATATCTTGTTCAAGAAGAATATATGGCGAAAGTAATAGAGTGCTTACAGAATAGTAAGAATGGTGTTCTAGAATCTCCAACCGGTACAACTCAATCTTACTGTTTCATATTTACATATTATTGAAACATTAATTCTAATTAACATAAATATCACAGGCACAGGAAAAACTCTGAGCCTTTTGTGTTCTTCTTTGAGTTGGTTGTTAACAAAAAAAGCTCAATTACAAGCACAATCATTGGTCGGTGGAATAGAAACACCAAATTGTGGAGGACATTTCATTAAACAATTAAATAATGGACTTAAAGAAGCTACAGGCAAGTCAGATCCTTCTAGTAGTTTTAACTGGGCAGCGCCGAAAATTATCTATGCATCCAGAACGCATTCTCAGCTCTCACAGGCGATGCAAGAATTAAAAAAAAGTTCTTACAAACATGTAAGTGTAGCTGTACTGGGGTCAAGAGATCAACTTTGCATTCATCCAGAAGTTTCCAAAGAGACCAACACTTTGAGTAAAGTACATATGTGTCATTCTAAAGTAAAGTCTAGAACATGTTTTTATTATAACAACGTTGAAACAAGGTAAAATGTTTTGCTAATATTTTGTAAGTTTTAATAAATATTTGTTAGCTTTTCAAAAGCATTAATGGAAAACAAATGTCTTTAGAAAAGAAGATCCTTTCTTCAAACGAGAATTATTAGATATAGAAGATTTAGTAAAAGCTGGTCATAAATTCAAATGCTGTCCATACTTCTTATCCAGAGAACTTAAACAAAATGCAGATATAACATTCATGCCATACAATTACTTGCTAGATGTAAAATCACGAAAATCCCAAAATATAGATCTGCAAAACAGTATTATTCTTTTAGACGAAGCACACAATATTGAAAAGATATGTGAAGAAGCAGCATCGTTACAAGTAATACATTAAATATGATAATATGTAACAGAAATCATTATACTATATATACGAATTATTTATGATACACATATGTGTTTAAAAAATATTAAAGTCTGCCAAGAATAAAGAAGACGTATGAATTTTATACAAAATTTTTCTAGATATGTAGTACAGATATTGCAATGTGCATTGATGAAATAACAGCAGTAATGGAAGATATGGTTAACAATGTTGAACAAAATGATCTTTTTATGGAAAATTCAGGAAATGTGCAAAAAGATTTTACTGCAGATGATTTATGTATTTTGAAAGCAATGTTTTTGGAATTGGAGAAAACCATCGATTCTATAAAAATCAATAAACGCGATGTGGGAGATACGCTTCCTGGTGGATATATTTTTGAATTACTAGAAAAAGCACAAGTACTTATGAACTAGTTTTTGAATGCATCAAATATTTTTATGATATTTATATTTCATCATAGTTTACTTGACAGTTAACCCATGGCAAGGAGCAACTAGTAATAGAGAAATTAGATAAAATTGTATTTTACTTAACAACTACAAGTGCCTCTCCATTTACAAGGAAAGGCAATGCGCTTCAAAAATTTAGTGATTTGCTAAGAATTGTGTTTAGCAGTGGTAATAGCTTACACTACAGGGAAAAAGTCAAACAATGTTATAAAGTATATATTCAATTAGAGGAACAAAAAAAAAATTATAAACACGATGTATGGGAAACGAAGAAAACCATTTTCAAAAATGAAGGCAAAGTTATCAGTTATTGGTGTTTTAGTCCAGGTTTCAGGTAAAATATGTATTATATTATTAATATGCTGTTTTATTTATTTTAACTATAATGATACATATATTTTATAAAGCATGCAGCAGTTAATGGAACAAGGTGTACGCTCAATGATATTAACAAGCGGTACGTTGTCTCCATTAAAACCTTTTATATCCGAACTTGGAATACCAATTGAAATCCAATTGGAAAATTCGCATATTGTAAAAGGAGATCAAATTTGTGTGGGTATTCTTAGCCAAGGTCCTGATGGTTTCGCTTTAAATTCTTCTTACAACACAAGGTATTTTGATTAAAAATACATTCACAATATTGTGTACATATTGTGAATATATTTAATATATTACTCAGATTATATAACTTCTTTTAGGAATGATCCAAAATATATAGGATCTCTTGGACGAACTATATTTAATTTTAGTTGTCTCATACCTCATGGTCTATTAATTTTTTTTCCTTCATATCCAATAATGAAAAAGTGTAAAGAAGAATGGCAAAACACAGGTTTGTGGACAAAAATTGCAGACCATAAAGTAATTATTTTTTATATTTATGTAAGATATTATTATACAAATTTATATGTGTAATAGAACCATTTTCTTATATTTACTAGCCTATATATGTCGAATCTCAATATAAAGATGGTTTCATAAATGTTTTAAATGAATATTGTGAAAAAATCAAAGACCCTTCTTGTAAAGGAGCTATCTTCATGGCAGTTTGTAGAGGCAAAGTGAGTGAAGGACTCGATTTTGCTAATGCAAATGGTAGAGCTGTGTTAATTACAGGTCTTCCATTTCCACCTTTGAAAGATCCAAGAGTTATATTAAAACAACAATACTTGGAAGAAATAAGAATTAACAACAAAGAAGTAATTAAAATTTGAATTTATATTAAAATATCGAATAGATTAAATTTTGTCTTGTATACTTTAACTCTTTGTAGGCTTTGTCTGGGCAAGAGTGGTATCAACTCGAAGCATCACGAGCTGTTAATCAAGCTATTGGTCGAATAATACGCCATAAAAATGATTATGGTGCTATTATTCTTTGTGATTGTAGATTTGAGAATCCAGGTTTCAAGAAGTATTTATCTGCTTGGCTAAGGCCTCATATAAAAAATTTTACTAATTTTGGAGTAATTACAAAAGATTTGAGAGATTTCTTTAAATATGCAGAACACACTGTAAGTTTTCTTTCTTTGTTTGTACAAGTATTAATGCAAATGTAACTATGTTCGCTAAAAATTTTATTTTTAGTTACCCCAACCAAATATGCAATTTAGAAATAATAGTATTTCGTTACCTGCAATGGCAGCATCTTTTGATACAACTTGTCGCGAACTGCACAAAATCCTTTGAAACACAAGTCTAAAGTAACATCTTTAGTAGAGGATACTTTTAATATAGATTTATATACTAATGAAAATAAAGAAGCTGGTAAAACAATTGATGTAAAGAAAAAAAATTTCTCTGAGCTTTTAGCAACAAAGTCGAAGCCTATAATTAATTTTAGCGATTGCAAATTAAAAGAAAATTATGTTACCTGTGAACTAACAAAGAATACCACAGAACCAGTTACAAAAAAAAGAAAAATAAAAATGTTACCTATTGAATTCAATGAGTGTTTGTCTGGTCCTTCTACGTCGTCTGCGTGCACAAACAGTATAATCAATTTAAAATATTCTCAACAAATTTCTGAAGAATCGAATGATACTGATAAAAAATCTTTAGGCAAAACATATTTAAAAGCGGTAAATATGCAATTATAAAATATTGTTTAAAAAGGAATATTTTACAATTTAAATGTCACGTACATATACAACGTACTTTTAGGTAAAACGTTCTTTATCGGAAGCTGATTACAAAACATTTGCAAAAATGATACAAAATTATACGAAGACAGGTAACCTTGAAGAGTTGCTGAAAATACTTCAAAACATATTTCCACAGAAAGAACGGTTTCATTTGTTATAGGTACTTTTTAACATTAGTATGAGAACTAATTACATCATACTGCTAATTATCGATAATTCAAAAAATATATGAATTTTTAGGGTTTAAACATTTTTAAAAAAACAACATATAGTTGCATTTGATACTCATATTGCTCGTTTAAAAAATGTGCAGTTAGAAAATTAAAACTTCCAGAAAATGAAAAAAATGATTATTAAAAATATGATACAAGTAAGTAGTAATGAATCACAATATATTTTATATTCTAAATAATCTTTTTAATCACGGAAACCTGTACAAATTTCCAAAATTTTCAATTATTTGTTTATATCCAGAAGAAAACAGAGTACTACAAACTGAGTGTAAATTTATACATATTGTTAAAATATCTTTTTCTTCTTTAAAAAATGTTGCGTTGAACTCCTTGTCGTCACTCCGAACTTATACATTTTGATACACGGAATCATAGTGCTCTCATCGTAGAATCGCCACTTGAATCGCTGTCAAATATAAACATCTATAACATATTAACGGTTACTACTCTCTACGTTACAATACCTTTAAGAAAAGGCCTTACGCCATTAGATTCGTTAATCTCGACACATGCGTCTTTTTTCAGAAAGGCGTTGACGCTAACATATGTAATATTTACAAACAGTTCTTATTATTCTTATAAAGAATCAAATATTATAAAACAACCATAAACCATTTAAAAATACAATATAGTTTCATTATAAATTGATTTAATTTCATATTTATGTACATGTATGTTACATTTTGTCTCCCACTATATATAACATTTGGAAAAAAATATTTTAAAGCACCAAGTACGGAAAATTAATTGTAGCAAATTATAATATTTGTTATTGAAGATTATAATAATATTTAAATTATGTCAAGTAATACATACATTGCTTTAAAAAAAAACCATTAATATCCACATATTCGAACATGTATTTTTTCATCATTATATGTATTTTTTAGACAAATACTAAAGTACATCATTCATAACGTACGTCGACATCGGAATGTCTTCTATCTAATATTTTTGTCTACATGCGTTTAATGTATATTTTTCTCTCTTTTGTTATAAATCTTGACATGAAAATGAATTAAATATTACTTTAAAAAAAAATATATATATATATCACTTATTTTGAATTAATGTGTTATTTAATGAACATATAACATTAATGTTTGCCTTATACATATTGGTTAAAAATTGCAGTTTTTTACAACTGTGTGGTATGAACTCCACTTGCATCTTTATTATTATCAGTTTGTGTTTTTATAAGTGCATTAGTCACGATTTCTTCATAGTAGTCTTCAAACACACGTCTATTATAAGTAATGAGTATTAAAAACTGAGCTGCTATAGCTGTCAGCTCCTCTTGAAGCGATGATAGCCCTGGTGGTACTTGTAGTGGTTCTGAAGATTTAGACAGCATTATCTTTTGTAAAAATTGTCGAATTCTGAAATCTGAAAATGTATAAAAAAAAGAATAAAATAAAAAAAACCAATTCCAATATTCGAATTATAAAAATTTTGCATGCAATACTCACTTATAAGGTGCCTATTTTATGTTCTGGTTTAATAAGTTCTAATATTTGTCCTTCTAATAATATTTCCAACTCTGGAGATAATTGAGCAGAATCGATCTCTTCTAATGTCGTTCTTACGTCTGCTTTTACTTGCAATACAATATTCGGCATTACAGTTTCCAAATCTCTAATAACAGTATATGTATAAAATTCAACTTATAACTGTGTTGTTTGTGTATACAATTGTAAATCATTTTGTACATACTTATTTGAATGTACAGAATCCAACAGCACAGTAAGATGTTGTTTAATATTCTTCTTGAACCTTGATACTCCATGAATTGGTGCACCCACTGTATTGTTTACTAGCAATATCACAGCGCCTATAATGCTTAATCTACTGGTCTTATCACGCAATTCTAGTAACCTATCCTGATCAAGTAATAAAGTCTAAAAGAAGCATATAAAATAAAATAAATATTTGTAAGATTATTAATGTACGTAATGTAAAATGAAAACATGTGCCATTCTAAATGGATTGCCTGTAATTTAATATTCTTAAACATACTTCTGTTTCTGGAATGAAATCCCACTCTAGAAGATCAAGATATGCTTCAGTTAAAAGACAATGTGTGATTTGTCGTATATTATCAACATCTACTGAACTGTCTGTAACTTTTGTAGGATCGAAATGTCTTAATAACCACTTTCTGTATAATTCAAACCATTTGCACAGATTTGAAGAATTCGGCAAACTTTGCTTTCTCATATTCAATACTCGAAGCAACTATGTTTGGTCTCATCATGGTAATAGTAAAATTTGCCAGATCAAGTTGCATTAACTGCAATATTTCCATTATACCTTTAAATATTTCAATAACATCTGTTTTTTGACTGAGCTCTCTAATCTTTCCATCTCTTACTGGTGCACATACTTTACTCATAATTGAAATCACATATTGTGCATAATGATGGAAATCTAAAACACCTTTTTCTGCTTGTTGTTTGATTAGATCTACATCAAGTACTTCTTTTAAATTTTCTCGAATTTTTGCATGGTGTGGCAATACCAATTCATTTAATATCTATAAAGGAAAAAAGGAAAAATTATTGAAAATTGTACAAACCTTATGCTACTTTAGAAAATCAGTATGAATATATTACTTCTTTAATTTCGTTTAATAAAACCATCGCCTGTGTATAGTTTGGAGGATCTTCAGCCAATTGCTCGGCTAATAGATTCCAAAAAGCTGTATGCATAATTTCTTTGACTCTTTTGTAAAATGTACCATCTTTATGCTCAAACTTCTGTAATTGAAAATTTTTGTCCATTGCAATTTCGTGAGCCAAAGTCATATTTTGCATATCGTTAACAACTTTTATAATTTCTTCAAGGGGAACAAATTTTGGCGGCGATGTTCCTACTAATCTGGATGTCGTCAAATTTGAAGTTTTTTGCCTATATAATAGGAAGTACATTACAAACCACACTATTAAAAATTTAAATAATATTTATTATACAATGAATAAATGATAATTTGAATAACAGTTGAATTTACCCTGTCGCAATACCCTCTTCTGGATCAGTGTTAGAATTAGACTGACATTCTAAAGGTGCAGATGCACTGGCCTCGTTTATATACATTTCTGTTCTTCGTTACGTTCCATTTTTGATTCCTTTAAAATACATCTTGTTATATTACAATATTTAACAAATATTATGTTTACTGTAACAAATAATACAGTTGATATTATTAAAACATTAAACATTATCATATTGAAAAAATACAACATTAATAATGAATATAAATTAATTGTTTAAATCAAATAATATATTAGTGATAAACATAAATATTCAAATTGGGAAATTTTATTCACACATAACTCTACAGGGTGCAGTGAATAACATGTACTAGCGGGCACATGGTGGTTCCTTATGAAAAAATAAGAACAAAATATGAAATAAAATTTTTTCATTTAAAGCTTTGATTTCGAGAAAATTGAGTTTGAAAATCCTATTCATACGTATGCTGTTACGGCTAAGTTGCGGTTCGTTGAGCATCGTATAACGCGTACCGTTTTTATAAACAATAAACCCAGCAAAAGTTACAGAGTTCAAGAAAAAAATACACAGAAGACTTTTAACGAACAACAAAGCATTGTTTATTATAACGTAACGTAATCTAACAGTATACGTACGAATAAGATTTTCAAACTCGACTTTCTCGAAAACTAAGCTTTAAATGAAAAAATTTTATTCCATATTTTGTTCTTATTTCTTCATAAAGAACCACCTCGTGCCGGCTAGTACATGTTATTCAGCCGCACCCTGTATAATTAGAAAATATAAATAGGTATAAAAAGTACTATATATGTTAACCATTTAATACTCCTGATACACAAAGGCACACTACAGATCAAAACAAAATACCAGGAATGAAACTTAATAACGCCATTGATCCTGGAAGTTTGCGACTAATGAAGAGGCAGCAAAGAGTAATACCCCATATTACTCCAGCGCCAACCAAAATTTTATTCCTAATAAAATAGCGTTTAATTGTGTGCATAATAATCAACTTTATTTGAAATTAAGTAAAATGGTTTTAAAAAATAAAATTAAATTGTAACTCTACAAATTTCAAAAATAAGAAATTTTCAGTTTTATACATATATAATTATAATCTCATCTTCTGTTTAAAAAGTAAAAAGATTAAAAAATGAAATGAAAATGATAAATAAAAATACCTAAGAAATACATTTCTTTAAGTGAAATACCTATTTATTACGAAGTAGTCAATTCAAATTTGCTTCCAAAAATGACACTACATTTTATTCAATGAAGATATATAATTATATATTCACATAATATATATTATAAATTATTAATGTAGGAAACATACCTGTCTGGCATGATTAATATTAGACTTAAATGTTTTGTTGCAGCACAACCTATACTCAGAAGCAGCTGGCAGTTGAATACACTGGTTAATAAAGAAAAGGAGGTCAAACCTTGTCTATAAAAAGAACATCCACAAGGTACATATAAGAATTACCCTTCCTAATTGATTTTAAAGAAATGGCATAATATTTTTTGTATTTACAATAACTTGCCTTATACTTGTGCGTTATGCGTTTAATATATAAGATATTTCAATTATCACTATTAACATATTTGATATTGTAATGTACTTTGTAAATATTTAAAATTTTTTCTTTAAAAAAAATAAACAAACAGAACTTTCTATTCATCTCTTAATGTCATTATAATTACAATTTTTAAACAGTATCTATTTCAATACCTTTGATTAGAAATACAAAATTATTTTGAAAATTGAAAGTTTAAATATTTACGAATTACATACGTATTTTTCTTATCGCGCAACACTTTTTAGACAGTTCAATACAATTACGCATTTATCAATTTGATTACAAACAAAACTGAAGTAAGTTTTGTCCATAACATGACTCTAAACATATCT